ATTAATTCAGTTTCCAATTTACTCTGTATCTCTTTAGAATATCTAATTATGAGTTGTATTAACTGAAAAGAACAATTGGTGAGAATTTCATCCCATTCCTGTAGGAAGAGGTCATCTTCCAGTCCAAAAGCCGGTGTTTTATCTATTCTTAGATATTTATCTATTCTATTCCCCCAGCCACACGTATCGGATGACTGCAGATTTTAAGGAGGAGAAAAAGGATGCCGTTAAAGCCAGCAGGATGATCTGAAGAAGATAAAGGACCTGTGGGAGTATATTCATTTTGAGCACTGATATTCGACCATGCCACGTCACATGTGGGTAAGCCCATTTATCGAGGTCTGCCAGCAGCATCTTCAGCAGGGGAATGAAGTTATGTTGGTACATGTCTCGTGGGTCTGAGGTTACCCAACTTTCAAGTTACTTCATTTTTCCAAAGCACCAGTGGATCCAGGGTAGTATATTCCTCGGCAGGTAGGGTTATGTTCAACACTTCACATTTTGACATGTTAAGTTTAAAACCCAAGATTCTGCCGAATCGTTTAAATTCCAAGAGGAGGCAGGGCATCGTGGTCCGAGGGCTAGCAATGAGAAAAAGAAGGTCGTCCGCATAGGCGGTGACCTTATGTTCCACCCCTTGCCAGGTGAAACTCTGGATATCTGGGTGCTGGCGCAGTGCCTGGAGCAGAGGTTCCAGGGACATAGCGAATAACAGCAGAGATAAGAGGCACCCCTGCCTTGTTCCATTATTGATCCCAAAGCCCCATTTCCTGCAAGAATTAGACAGTATAGAATGGGATTCCGAATACAGTTGGGCCACGCTGGACGTGACCTCTCTGTATACGGTAATTAGTCATAGAATAGGACTGGAGGCTCTTGACCCTTACCGCAGCGCGTGGTTTGCTATACAAGGCAGTGATCCAGGCAAGGAGTCTCTGTCCCAATCCCATTTTCCTCAAGGTGGCTCATATATAAGACCAGTTCACACGGTCAAACGCCTTTTCAGCATCAGTTGAGAGTAATACGAGGCGTTGCCGTGACTTCCTCGCGTGGTGTTGGATTGTGGATAGCCATAGTGTGCTATCTCGTGCCTCTCGCCCTGGAATAAACCCTGTCTGGTAATTTGTCTGCTTATGTGGACTCTTTCCTTCAAAAATATGCTCAGGGGGCACCCTCATTCATACGTGATACCAAGTCTTTCCTGCAAGAATTAGACAGTATAGAATGGGATTCCGAATACAGTTGGGCCACGCTGGACGTGACCTCTCTGTATACGGTAATTAGTCATAGAATAGGACTGGAGGCTCTTGACCCTTACCGCAGCGCGTGGTTTGCTATACAAGGCAGTGATCCAGGCAAGGAGTCTCTGTCCCAATCCCATTTTCCTCAAGGTGGCTCATATATAAGACCAGTTCACACGGTCAAACGCCTTTTCAGCATCAGTTGAGAGTAATACGAGGCGTTGCCGTGACTTCCTCGCGTGGTGTTGGATTGTGGATAGCCATAGTGTGCTATCTCGTGCCTCTCGCCCTGGAATAAACCCTGTCTGGTCAGCGTGTATCAAAGATGGCAAGACGAACTGGAGTCTAGACGCCAAAACCTTTTGTGAACAGCTTGGTGTCCACATTCAGCAGTGAGATTGGGCGGTAGCTGCTACAATTCAGTGAATCTTTTCCAGGTTTTAGCAGAACAGTTATGGTCGCAGCCAAAGACTCTGCCCCGAAGGTCCCCCACTCTGCAACAGCGTTAAGGGCTTTCGTTAACCATGGCATGAGCACCGTTGAGAAGTTCTTGTAATATCCCATGGAGAATTCATCGGGGCCCAGTGCTTTGCCCGCTTTGGTCTTCTTCAAAGCAGCAGAGAGTTCTTCTACGCTAATCTGGGCATCCAATATTGCTGCGGTGTCCGGACTCGCCTGTCTCACAACATTGACATTTAAATAGTCATGTATGTGAATGGTTTCTGTCGCTACCATGCGGTCTCCGCCTGGTGTGGTCAGGTTGTATAGGGATTGATAGTATATCCTAAATTCTTCTGCTATATCATTCAGAAAAGATGATGTGGTGCCCGTTGATAAGCGCAATTTACAAACCGGCATACGGGGAGTGTTACCTTTTAAAAGACGAGCGAGGAATCTACCCCCTTACAAAAAACCCTTGGAGTGAAGATACCTTTCGCTTTAGGAGTTCCTTTAGCTGTCTTCTAGCTCGCATCGGCTCCCCGTAGGTTTACATCAACTGAGAGCGATTATGTTGGGTTCCAGGGTTGAGATTGATTTGTGAAGGTCAGCCATCTCCCTTAGGGCTACCTTTTTTTTTTTTTTTATGGGAAACGATACGTATCAGTGTGCCCCAAATGACACTCTTATGGGCCTCCCAAATTGACATACCATTTTCCTGAAAGTAAAGGTCCAGTGCTTGGGAGACCAGCTCCCGGACCTCTGGTTCCAAAAGCAAGGCCTCATTGAGCCTCCATGTCCAGGCCGAGGGTCGAAATAGGGGAGACTCAAGCTCAATGCTAATTGAGCCATGAACCGACCAGGTGGCTGGCTCTATGGTGGCTTTTAATAAGCGGGAAAGGCCCTCCTATCTGATGAAAAGGTAGTTGATACGGGAGTATCGGTCATGAAGTGCAGAATAATGTGTGAAGTCCTTGACGTTAGGGTTAAGGGCCCTCCAACAATCCACTAGGCCCATGTTTCCCACAGATCTACGTATGGAGTGAATGCTTATTTGGGAGATGCTACTGTGTCCCGACGAGGAGTCAAGTATTGGGTCCAGGGGAGCGTTGTAGTCTCCCCCTAGGATAAAGGTACCTTCCGCAAAGTCTTAGCCAGCGTTCCCCTGAGAAATTGTGCCTGCCGTCTGTTGGTTACATCGATATTTGCGAATGTCTAGAGTTTACCGGCAATGGAGCCCTTCAGGAAGAGAAAGCAAGTGAATCATGTGAACGGTCTAGTTCCTGAAACCCTAGGTCTGCTGTCAGTATGATGGCGACTCCAGCCTTACGGGCTGAGGGATGATTGCAGAAGTAGTTGGCTGGATAGGATCTGTTCTGGAGCTTGGGGGCCACTTCTCGAAAATGTGTTTCCTGTGGCATAGCAACTGAGACATGTTTTTTCTTCAGTTCCCATAAGAGTTGGACTCTGCGCTCTGGGATGTTCAATCCCCTACAACTAAGAGTGAGGACAGACAGGGAAGCGCCATGGTAATCCTGGACCCAGGACTAGCATTTGCCCAAGACACACCACCCGCTCCTCATGTTCCCCGGACCCTGCAATGGCCGCCCCGAAAGAGCCCCACCCCCCTGGCACAGACCAATAAGGAGGAAGAGTAAAAAGAGCAGAAGAAGGAAAGGATAATATAGGGAAAGAAATGAATTAAAAGATAAGAGTAGAGAAGAAGAAAAATATAAAAAAAAGAGACAAGTGCCCAAGAGGTGTCCCGAAACTTCTCCCTCCGTAGGTGAGGGGACTCGTGCTACAACAAGAGGTGCTAGGGACACGCCCTGATAAGCAGACCAGGGTGCGGTATCTCCTACAACCCTGCCGTAATAAATCTTGCATGAGTGTGGTTCCGCCCAAGTAAATTACAACAATATAAATTCGGAACAAGTCTGCTCCACATCGTACCCCTTCATGCGTATATCCAGCGTAAGTAAATTACAACAATATAAATTCGGAACAAGTCCGCTCCACATTGTACCCCTTCGTGCTTATATCCAGCGTAAAAAAAAAAAAAAAGCGCCACTCACTTAACCAAATACATGCATAAGTGACATACCAGCAAGAAGAGAATAAATGTAAAAAAACTAAAAATTTCCCTCCCCCGCCAATCACCCAGGTCTCCAGGAGGATACCGCCCCCCTCCTCCCAGGTCCATGCTCTCTCTGCATAAGGTCAAGCCCTTCAATGGTCGCCTGGTTGGTCCTAGCCTCATGAGTTGTGCAAATCCCCATTCTTCTTCCCCCCCCAAATTACTTTCCCTCCCTCCCCCCCAGGGGATCCCAACCAGTATACCCCACCAACGTCACCAGTACCTGGGTAGCGTTAACAGACCTATATGGGAGTGAGAGAAGGAGCGACATGCCCCCCCTCCCCATGCACCTTGTGGAAGGCCTTACTCCCTAGTAAACCTCAGGTAGTGTATCAAGCTGGAGTAATTGTGGTAGGTTGGGAATGGGCGGGGCTACCCCTAGATGGTGACTATTCCACCTGTGGAGGGTTAACTTCTGTTAAATAATATCTGAGTTCACTATCCCCCACCTCCTTTTTTTTTTTTCGCCCCTCCCAACTTGTATTCCAAAAACATGAGCTAATCGGCGACTAGTGAGGCCCCTTCCTTCTGCCCCCATTCCAACACCCCCATCTAATACTCTCCGCTCACGTCTTCCTTCACTCACGTTCGTGGGCATACGGTCAACTTCCTTTGGCCTCATGGAAGCATGACCCTCCAACTCACCATAGCCCTGCACAACCTACCTATATACCTCACATTTGCACATTATGAGCAGTAACCATTAACAGACAGATTGGAGTCGGGAACTGCGTGGTAAGGATCCCAACAAGGGTTGGTACATCAATCCTGCCACTGTAGCGACATGGAATCCGGTGCATGATGGCATAGGGCTTGCAATTCCCCCCTGGATCCACCCGAAACCCCCTCCCCAAGACAATGATTATTGGCCCCTGGTGCCCTAGCTGCCGTGTGGTGGGTATCCATTACAATCGGGGAAAGCGACCCACATGTGGCCCAGCCTCAGTGCGTTTTTTTTTTTTTAAAGTGAATCTCCCCCCCATAACCTGCCCTCCCAAATCCAAGGGGAACAAGAAATGAGGAGACTGGAAACCTGCCCCACTGCCTGTACCCTCCCAACACTGTCCTGGCAGAGACCAACCCATGGAGCTGGATTTTGAAGTGGGTGACCAATACGTGCAAGAGTCCATCTGTGGGGCCCAAAATTGGTGGGTCACTGGGTAGAGCCGGACAGTGCAGGGTATTTACTTACTCCTCCGGGTCCTCAGGATCCAGGCGCCGTCAGGGCGGAGGGGGGCCCGCTGTGGCCGGGGCTTTGGCTCCAAGGACCCCAGAACCCAATTGGTGACCAAGATAGGTGGGAGACCCAGTTCCTCCAGGAACCGTGGCATTTCTTCAGGCCAACGTGCCGATGCCCATCCATTCTGGTGACGGGCCAGTAATGCAAAAGGGAACCCCCATTTATATGTGATGTTGCGATCTCGTAGCGCTGATGTCACTGGCCTGAGCGCCCATCTAGCTTGCATCATGATGGGGGATAAGTCATTATATAGGGATACCTGGGCCCCGTGGTAGCTCCATGTTGGACATTCCCGGGCCTTCTGCATTATGGCGTCTTTGACAGGAAAGGAATGCAGGCAGCATATTGGGTCCCTCCTCCAGTGAGCGTGGTCATAAGGCTCTGGGGCCCGTTTGAATTCAAAGTGCTGGGGAGCTTCATTCTGCAGCAGGAGCCGAAATAGGCCCGACAGTACCTCCTCCACATTCTCTCCTCCCTCAGCCTCCGTTATGCCTTGTATCCGGATGTTGCACTTGCGGCCCCTATTATCCAGGTCCTCCAGGTGTCTCCGCATAGCTAGGATCATTTCACCTTGTCGGGACACTGCCGTGTCTGTTGCAGCAATCCTGGTAGACTGGGCCTCAGTCGAATGCTCAGGTGCCTCGATGTGGCCTGCTTGGGGGGCTACTTCAGTCTGGATGCCCACCATCTCCTCTTGTAGGGCGTCCTGAATGGTGGTGGATAGAGTTTGCAGGCCAGCCTTGGTAGCCACAGAAACTGCCATGTTCCGCAGTTACTCCCCAATCTGGTTTCGAATCCCGCCAGGTAGGCCGGGGGTATCAGTGCCATCCCTGAGCTCTTGGCCTCTCCCCCAACTCTGTGCTGGGACTGCAGAAAGCCATCCACTGGACCCTGCTGTTGTCTCATTTGTGAGCTCCTCAGGGTCTGGGGGGGGGGGTGCTGGGCAACGATTACGACCCATTTGCTGGTTGTAGCTAATTATCAAGCGCTTTGTTGGGATTAGTGGAGCGAAGCACTCAGATTATGCGGCCATCTTGGTCAGAGCTGAAGTCACGCCCCCCAACTCTTGCGTTTAACCCTTGCAGATATGGAAAGACTTAACTAAGGCAAAGGCATTTTAACCCTTTATTTACCTGTATCTATGACAAGTGCCCTTTGTCTGATACTGCAGGTGAGAGTTAGGCAAGGTATCTCCAGATGTACTAATTACACCTGTGGGACTTTTATTAATTCTTCACCTTGATTTTCTCGCCATTTCTCACCAAAAGCCGTCAAGGGAAGCTTGCCCACATATGTGTTGCTACAGAATAATATATGTTATTAAATCCACATCTCACTTTGCAATACATATATTTTTGGCTTAGTATGTCTAGGTGAATATTTATTAAGCATTGCATTGGTAAAATGACAAATTCCCCATCAGAGACCAATTATCCTTGTTACCCTCCAAACCTTTCTGGTATAGAGTACTCTGAGCACTAAAACAATTGTAGCTTAATGAAGCAGTTTTGGTGTATATATCATGTCCCTGCAGTCTCACTGTTCAATTCTCAGCCATTTAGGGGGTAAATCACTTTGTTTATGCAGCACCTGGCTGTGCAATGGAGCTGTGCACGGCAGAGAGCCTCAGGAGGATGCATCAAGCATGAAAATGGTTTAAAGAGGCCACTACAGCCCAGTACAGTGGTTGTGGTGTAAAGATGCTGTGGTCAGCAAACCTAATTGTTTTTTATTAACCTTTTTTGTTAATCATTTTGGACCACTTTTATGAAAAACCTGGACAGCAGCATACCACTCAACATCGGGGGAGGGGGTGTTTGTAAGTGGGGGAAGACTATTGATGCAGATCATGTCACTGGCACCGCCCAAAGGACACGGTCCTATCAAGAATGGGGGCAGGTCCGACTGGAGTAAATTCACACCAGGCTGCCTGTCAATCATGTAGGCCAGTCCACTGAGAGAGGACAATGCAGAGAGCACTGTTTCAGTACACGCTGCAAGGTTCTAGTGCCCTTAGCGAAGTATGAGCGCGTCTTATGAAACGCTCGAGCTCCATTCAGTACTGCCACCTTAGCAGCTGCCTCCACAGTTGTGGGTTGTCTATTTCTAATCCAGTCTCTAATATGAACACTGCACCAGGAGGATTATCTGTAGAGCATGCGATAAAGTGGCAGCCTGGCAACCATGCATCCAGTTCTGGGCCACCCGCTACATGTAGAAAGCCCAATCAGCCTGAGAGTCCTTTAAGCCTTGAAATTTTCTTATATATGCCTCAGGGGTTACAGCGTACCATCCCAGGAGTTTCTCTTTAACACATTCATAGTTATAAATGTCCATGTCTGGAACTACACTGTATACCTTGGCTGTCCATCTGGTCAGCTTGCTTCTCAAAACAGTCACCCCATTGGCCATATCCAGGCCCTCCAGGTAACACTATCTCACAAAGTCCTGGAGACAGCTAATATGTCTTCCAGCCTACAGCCTATTGTCTCTGACTGAGAGGAGAGGAGAAACCCGTGGTATCAATTCCAGCTGAGGATAACAACCATTTGGCCCAGCGAGTGAGAGTAGGTGTAGACACTGGTAGGTGAGGTCTCTTGAATGAGATGAATAATGGGCCATCTTGTGACGGGCGCAACTCATATTCCTTCAGACATAAAATCTGGCACAGATTCGGATGTCTTGATAATTTAGGGTAAAAGACGTTCTTGGTCGCAGACTTCGTCCTTCGTGAGATATCAAAGGATACTCCTTCTGGGGTGAACACCCAGGCCTGCCAATCCAAAGCTCTGATGTCAGATACTTGTTTGCAGGAGAGCAAACAAAACAGCATGAGTAATTTGGCCGATAATTGTTTCAAAGATAATTCAGCGTTTAGTAGCCAGTTGTCTAGTAGTTTGAAAATCACATTCACGTCCCAAAATGATCCATACTTAGGTTTTGGGGGGCGTGAAAAATGATACCCTTGAGTAGGCGGCAGATCACTGGGTTTTGCCCGATTGGAAGACCATCTAAACCTTTATCTCCTGCCGAGATTGCTGACTGGTATAGGTTGACGGTACGAAAGGCCTTGCCTGATTCGAACAGGTGCGTAAAAAATTCCACACAATCTTCACAGTAGCTGATATAGGATCCACTGACCGTTCCAGGCCCCAATCGGACCACATTTTCCATGCTGCGTGATAGGAATGCCGCGTTCCTGATGCCCAAGCATTTGCCAGGAGTTGGGCAGTTGTTTGTGAAACATCTGTGATTTCCCAGAGTCCCCAGAAACGAGCCATGCTATGAGACGCAGAAGGACCTGGTCTATGAGTCCGTGACTCTCCCTGTCCCGATTGGTCAGGAGGAAGGGGTTGTCTGGTAGCAGTCATGGATAGTCTATCGCCATTTCCAATAGGTATGGGAACCAAGGTTGTGACCTCCAGCATGGAATTATCAGGACAATTGTGTCTTTGCATTGTCGCAGGTATGCCGGAGTCCGAGCAATCAGATTGAACGGAGGGTAGGCATATGAACGGCCTGCGGTCCAATCCTGAAGGAATGCATCTGTTGCCACGGCTTCCGGGTCCGGCATCTAGCTGAAGAACTAAGGTAGTTGAGAGTTCAGTGTAGCGGATGGCATTGGGCTGTCCTCAGAATTATGTATATTCGTATGTTTTTGGTTTAATTTTGCCATGTGTATGTCAAGAGTATGCAGCATTCGCTGATTGTTCGATAAAATCACTCCAGTTATTATGCGAGTGAAACTACCGAACAATCAGACCACCCCAGGAATAAGTGTGCCTCCAATTACTGTTCGCAACAATATTGCAAACGGGTAATTAGCAATTCATGCAGTGTGTACTTTGTCCTCTGGGTGGCCGCCATTCGTGAGATGAACACGTGGTGGCGGCCATCTTAAACTCCTGAACAGCGGTGTTTTGCGGTCGAGTGTCTGGAACCCAAATCGGACACTCAGTTAGGCAAACACCGCTGAGACCTCCATACTGCCGCTAATTCGTGTAAAAACTACCGAACGGCTCCTCGTTCAGTAGAAAGAACCCCACGAACAAGGGGATTTACCCGAATCCTCCCCAGTTCTCATAACCCAAGCCATTCATGTGTTTCATTCCCTTTTCTGTGACTGACCGCAGGGCCAAAATGTATGGAACCCTTTTCGGCTGTCAACTCCAGCGAAGTCGGTTTTTTTAGTGCCTCCAGGAATTTCCCGAACCCCTTGTCCGATCTCGGTGATTTTTGGATATGTGTCTCACCCAGATCAGGGCTACCAGGGGATGTAATATTTAAAGGGGTACCTGTAGCGGAGGAGCAGGGGTTAATCCAATAGCTCTCCGCTGGGAACAAAGATTCAGCATACAAAGTCACAGGAACACAGCATAATCCACCTCCCCAAGGACTAGACGACACATAGTCTGGGAGTCAACTGACAGCTTTAATCACAGGTCTGCTTTTATGCATTTCTCCCATGCAAGGGAGGTAACTTTCATAATTATTACAGTAGCCAATTGTAACACGGTCACCTCCCATCCCTCTCCTCCCCTTTGATTAGCACTTAAACAGATTAGTGGGGACAGAGTTTTCCCCACTTTCTGGATGTCCCCTAAATACAGGGGGTACAAGGACAAATAAGGGGTCCCCTGGTAGGTCTGCTCTGGGTGAGCAAAATACTCGAAATTCACCCAGATCGGACCAGGGGTTCGGGAGTTATAGACAGTTGAAGATTTGACCGACCGCAGGGACTCAGTAGCCGAAAACAGTTCCATGAATTCTGGCCCTGCGGTCGGTCTATTTTAGTGAATGAAAAATCCCGAACAGCTTAGCCATCCATGCACCTGCTAGCATTCGTATGAATCCCCTCATTTAGGGGATTCTATCTATCGAACGCCGGGGCATTCGTGTGTTTAATTCGTGCTGTCGGAGCATGCTGGAGGTCTTAGCGGTACTTGGTTAGTCGAATGCCCGGTCTGAGTTCCAGGCGGTTGACGACCAAGTACCGCTGTTCGTGCGTAAGATGGCCACCGCCACGTGTTCGGTAGGCGAAATGGCGGCCACACATACAGGTACTTAATTCCCTTCGCAACATTGTATCGTTCAGATAATTGGAAACACACGACCACCCCGGGGTGGTCTCCCGTTCGGTAGTTTCGGGCATTTGCATAAAAAACAGTAAAATAGCATTAAAGTCTGTTCATGCAGTTATTCACTTGGTTTAGCACCCATTCACATAGAATAATTAGTCCAAGTGGCAGGGTTTGCCACAGTACCTCTATGTTTAGGGGTACATCCAGAAAACAAGGGGAACTGTGTCCTGCATAATGGGTTTATGTGTCATAAGGGGAGGGGATGTGTGGGGGGCAACTCGTGTATGATTGGTGTATTGTGTAATTACTGTAAATCCCTTCCTTGCATGGGAGAATGCTTTAAAAGAAGGTTGTGTGATTAAAAGTTCAGTTCTGCTCCTGATGCTGTGTGTCGTCCAGTCATTGGGATTGATGTTGGGATATTGTTGGATTGTCTTGCTTGCTGGAATTATTGCCTTATGGATGTCTAATACTTGTTCCTGAGCCTCACTGGGATCTTGAGTGGAGATAACCTGTGGAATATCAGCTCTCCGCTACATTCAGTCTGGATGCAATCCAGTTTCCAATTTCTGGCCGCTTTTGCCCGGCCAGTGGCTCATTTGCGTGGTTGTTGCGTGGTATCATAGACAGCCTGAGGCGTGTCAGTCAAACCAGGGGTCTCTTGGGTGTGAGGAGGGACACTGTCTACTACTTGTTTCAGAGAGATTGAAGCTATAAATAAAACCACTCAAGGAATCTAGATTTATTTCCTTGATTTTTCTTAAAGGTACAGTACCACAAACTATTTCTGCAGTTGTGTTCCTCTATTTTTTCTATTTTCAGCTGAAGCCTACACTACTTTATATGAATATATAGTTTTTGTGGCAATTTTGTTTTCTCTAATGGCTATTAAGTGAACAAGGCTAACATACCAAATTCTAACATTTCTCTACATTGAAAATGTATTTTAATCTTTGTATTTTGTGACCTGTAACTACCAAAAACCTAGATATATGATGTACTTTGTAAAATCAGGACATATTGTTGAATTTATTTTTAATTACTTTTCTTATGCTGCACTAATTATGCAGCATTATTACTGCCAATACTGTAATTGTTTTGTTGTTTTTTTTAATATTAAATGATAATTTGTATATGTCACATTAAAGCTCTTTTTGTCCTTTCAAACAGAGCAATACATGGTAAAGATGGAAATTGGAGTTGTCATTAAAAATGTCAAAATAGTGTTCTCAAGCAAAATAAAATCATTGGGTTAACGTAGTTCATTGAAGGGATGCATTTAATATCCAGGAACAAATTTTAGGGAAGTAGGAAGACAGTCTAATGGTGAAATGGACACAAGCATGGCCCACGTTTGTAGCCACGGCTACTATACACCTCCAATGAAGATACCCAAGACTCAACTGTAGGAAATCTATGAAAGAAAGATATCTTTTATAAGCTGTTTTCCTGGCACTATAGGCTCCTGCAGTGCTCCCCGTGGTGCTGAAGGGGTTAAAACGCCTACATGAACACAGCGCAGATATCCCTTGATGCTGGGTCAGGCTCTGCCCACACCGACGTCAGCCGTCTGGGGAGACCTAAAGCACATACGCGTCAATGGCGGCAACCTGACACTGGAGGTCCTAATGCAGAGCATAAAAACTGTACATGTGAGATACTGTTACACTCGTGAGACTTCGGTGAACACAAATATGAGCGTTTTAAAACAAGAAAACCTGTAATGATGTTATCATCAGTGAAAAACAAAATATGAAAACTAACTTTGGCTAGTGTTTGTGACTAAGTGGCTACTACAAAATACTGGACTTACCCAATTCTGAATATCCTGGGTTGTCTACTTTTGTGAATGGTATGCCATGGTGGGGTTAATTTTCATTCCTGGATTGCCATACAGTCCCAAAGGCAGCATAGGCCCAGCAAACCAACCTGGCAAATTTCATTGTGTAAAAATAAAAAAGGGGAAGAAAGCCCTATATTTAACCCTGTAACTCTCCAAAACCCCATAAAACATGTACATCAAGCATGTCAAACTCACGGCCCATAATGCAATTTTTTTTTGCGGCCCATGCTTACTAAAGCAGAGTTGGCACCTGCTCTCCCCACATTGCATGTGCCTACTCTGCTACAATTTACCTGGCTGGGGAAGTCTTCCTGCTCCCTCGCGCGCCCTCTGTAGTGATGCCGGGTGCTGGAATATGACGTCACCTGGCATCACTATACTGCACGCGTGAGGGAGCAGGAAGACTGAACTCCTGAGAGAAGATCAAGAAAAGGACCCATACCAGCTTCCCAAGGTAGGGAGCAATAAATAAAATGATGTGAGTGTGTGTAAAAATGTGTAAATGTCTGTGTCTGTCTGTATGTGTGTGTCTGTCAGTTAGGGAGTGTAGCGGATGGCAATGGGCTGTCCTGCAAATGTATGGCGAATAACTGCATTCGTGTGATCTGCTGTTGTTATATGTTTTTAAAAGAATTGTATTCCTCTGATTGTTCGGTAGTTTAATTCCCCTAGTTTATTCGAATGAAACTACCGAACAATCAGACCTCCCCTGTGTGAAGTGTGTCCTCAATTACCCGTTGCAACATTGTTGCGAACGGGTAATTGACAAGTTAAGTAGCCGTCCTTTGTTCTCGGGGGTGGCCGCCATTCGACAAACGAACACGTGGCGGCCATTTAAAAACTCCCGAACAGCGGTGTTTTGCCGTCGAGTGTCTGGAACTCAAATCGGACACTCGAGTAGACGAACACCGCTGAAACCTCCACAAGCCCGGTCCGTTCGGTTCCTAACTACCGAACGGCCCCTCGTTCGGTAGATAGAAAGAACCGAACGAGGGGATTCAGGCGAACCCTCCCTAGCCTCTATAGCTAGAGGCTTTCGTATAGTTTGTTCCCTTATGCCAGGAACGACCACAGGGCCCATTCGCATGGAACCACATTCGGCTGTCTCAGTTAGTGGGGTCGGTCATTTTATTCCCTCTATACATTTCCCGAACCCCTGGTCTGATCTGGGTGATTTTTGGATATGTTGTTCACCCAGATCAGGGCTATCCGGGGATGTAGGATTTAAAGGGGTACCCCTACGTTTAGGGGTACATCCAGAAATGGGGGGAATTGGTGTCCTGGATAAGGGGATTATGATGCCGGCTGAGGAGAGGAGATGTGTGGGAGGATACCAGGACAGGATTGGCTATTGTGTTATTGAATGTAATCCCTCCCTTGCATGGGAGCATGCTTTAAAAGGACAGTGTGGATTAAAGCTTTCAGTTCTGCTCCTGAAACTGTGTGTTGTCCAGTTATTGGGATTGCTGTTGGGATATTGCTGTATTTTACCTGCTGGAAACCTTGCTTGTGGATTTACTATTTACTTGTTCCTGAGCCTCACTTGGATTATAAGCGGAGATAACCTGGGGAATATTGCATCTCCGCTACAGGGAGTGTGTCAGTGTCTGTTAGTGAATGTGTCTGTCAGTGTTGCGATGGCTGCAGCTGGACAGTGGAGTACCTGGAGGTGTATAGAGGCATGCAACGCCACATTCTGACGTGACGTCAACGTGCTCCAGAGGGGGGGACTGGGGTTTAGTACAGAAGGGGGGTCTGGGATTTAGTACAGAGGGGAGGGCTGGGGTGTAGTAGGATTTAGTATATAGGGGATCCTGGGATTTAGTATAAAAGGGAGATAGGTTTTAGTAGAGAGGAGGTTAGGTTTCACGAGTTGGGGTTTAGTACAGAGGGGTGCTAGGGTTTGAGGGGAGTCTGGTTGTTTTGGGGGGTGAGTCTGGGATTTAGTACAGAGGGGGTCTGGTTTAGTACAGGGGGACTGGGGTTTGGCCTGAGGGAAGTCTGGGTTGGTACAGGGAGGGACTGGGTTTAGTACAGGGGACTGGGGTTTAGGCTGGAGGACTACAGGGTTTAGTACAGGGGGGTCTGGGACTTAGTGGGGGGTCTGGGATTTAGTACAGAGGGGTCTGAGATTTAGGCAGGAGGGGACTGGGATTAGTCTACCCAGAGACTGGGTTTGTAGGGGAGTCTGGGTTCATATTACAGAGGGAGGACTGGGATTTGGTGGGGGTCTGGGATTTCCGTACAGGGGGGTGGGATTCATGTTGGAGGGAGGGGACTGGGATTGAGGGGGACTGGGGTTTTAGTACAGAGGGGTCTGAGAGGTTTAGTGGGGGATTTATATAGGTAGGGGGTCTGGGATTTAGAGGGGTCTGGTTGGTCAGGATCTGGGTTTAGTGGTCTGGGATTTAGTACACAAAGGGGAGGGCTGGGTGTAGTAGGATTCAGTATAGAGGGATCCTGGGATTTGGCCTGGGGAGGGGACTGGGATTTGGTCTAGGATTTAGTACAGAGATGGGGTTTAGTAGAGGGGGATACTGATTTTTTTTTTTTAATACTGTACTTTTCAAAACAAACCTACGTTTCTATGAAAATTAAGGTTGTGTTTTTTTGCGGCCCACAAACAAACCTTGTTGAAGTTGCCCGTGCTATCCATTGAGTCTGACATGCTTGCTGTACATAGTGAGTACTTTTGTACTTGTGAGACATCGCTGAATACAAATGTGTCATTTATTGCAGTAAAAACCTAACAGTATTATTATATTTACAGTTAAAATGCTATGCAGAATTTGAAAAATAAAAAAAACGTATTTTTCCAAAGTTTTATTATTCATATTAAATTAGGTTTCATATATAACTATTTAATATGAAATCCCTGTTTCTCCTGAATTAAATGCTATATAATAAGTGTGGGTGCACTTAATATGAAAGAGATGAATTCTGGTTGAACAGACATTTCGCGCAAGTTCCAGGTTTTGTTTACGTTTTGTTTTGATCACAACTTGTACTACTGACTCCGTCCTTAAAGGGTTAAACTATAACATCAACATTGACAGTTCCTCTTTATTTACATGTATTTATTGTTTTAGTCAGGAAGCACCCACATTAAAGCAACACATTGTGTAATCAGGACGTCATTGACTCGCCTCCCGCAAGAGTTCCAAGTGTAGTATACCTCGGAGTGCCAGTTTGCCAACGCTCGCATTGGGCAGCTGTTATTAGAAAGAACTTGGGTGATATACCGGGTATTTATCTGCTTTTTAAATAGTTTTATTTGTGAAATAGAATCATTGAACAGTTTCTGCTGACCATCACTTGTCCAGGAGGAATTAACTACACTGTCCCCTACTGAGGTGGCGTATTGGAGCATTAACAGCCTGATCAGTCTCTACCAGCTCTGTGTTTGTGGATGGTTTAACTCATATACACATCACTTGCATATTTAAAGGACCACTATAGTGCCAGGAAAACATACTCGTTTTCCTGGCACTATAGTGCCCTGAGGGTGCCCCCTCAGGGTTAATCCTAGAGGGACCTGGCACCCAGACCACTTCATTAAGCTGAAGTGGTCTGGGTGCATACAGTGGTCCTTTAAAGATCAGTATTACACTATATGGGTTCTTTCTGTTTTCTCTCTCATATTGAATCAATCCGGTAGGTTTTCTATGCATTTTTGGTATTCTTGTGAGATGTGCACAAATACTTGAAAGCACTTTGAGTGTGTGGTTTAGGAACACTATAGGGTCAGGAACACAAACCCTGGACAAATATCAGACAATTATACACACGGCTTTATGGTAAATAAACTAGTGGACTCTGCAACATGTCAACCTAAATATTCTTTGGTTAATTAAAGGAACACTATAAGTACCTAGACCACTTCATCTCAATGAAGTCTGGGTACCATGCACCCCCATTTTAACCTGCAGCTGAAAACATTGCAATACTAAAGGAAAGACAATGTTTTCTTTGCCGGGTTAGCCTGTCTCTAGTGGCTGCTGTCCTTCAATAATTAATCAGATAATCTCACAGACCATCTGACTGGCACATACACATCTCTGCCAAGAAGGCAAGACGAGCCGCAGACAGAGCAGCGTCTGCCACGTTAACGGATAATCCTCGTGGATGGGGCATTACCTAAATGGTGACAAGGGTACTATCTATAGTGTTAGGAATACACATTAGCATTATTAATGCTATAGTGTTCTTTTAACAGGTCATCTCAGCCGCCTTGCTTCTTACCACAGATTTCTCAGAGCTCCCTAAATACTTTCTTTCCTCCACGTCAGCCTCCAAATATTCCTTTATACCACATGTCTCATTCTAGCATGTTCCTTCCTATTCTCTCTGTTCCTTATCCAACCCCTCTCTTATGCAGTGTCTCTCTTCGAAGATGTCCTCCTTTAGCCACCCTTTCCTTTTAGTTCCTACTATTACAAATTAAGTAAAACTGACCAGACATTGTTACATGTGCAACTGACCCCCGAGAGGGGATATGGGTCCCTCTCCTTAATCAAGACTATACTCAAGGTGATCCGAACACTCACAAACTCATTCTCTGACTAAGTGTTGCTTTAAGAATGTAATTCAAAAAGTGTAAGATAACCGTTCTTTCCAAAGCGGACGCCCAAATTTAGCATATACTTTAAACAGAAAAGCTTGCTAATGCTATAAATTAAACCATTTCGCTTTACCTGGAATGAATATGAACCTATTCGCATTGTGAGTGAGCGTTCCTGGAGATTTCGCTCAGGGTATCTTAGGAGAGCGAATTGAGGCTACTCATTTCCATGGTAGCTTTGCACATAGAGCATCGCAGTTATATCATACATTTTTTTCCCCTCTTTGTTTCTCTCTCCATTTCCCCTCCTCCTAAATTTTTTGTGCTGCATTTACTCATTATACTGAAGGTGTTCCGAATACCCACAAACTCATGTCATGTTATAAAAAGTTCAATAAAAGCTTTAAACAACAAAACACAGGATGTATTTCTGCACTCTATCATTTTCTTGTTTTGTCCTGCAGGGAGATAGAGTTGTGTACAGAGTGAGACGCACATATTGCTCCTGTCTCACAAATGAAATGATGCATATAAACTGCAACTCTGGGGAACATGCCCACATTTAAACGACAACAGGGGCTCAACTTCCACTCACCACTGAATGGACACTTTGAGCTCCGATAGAGGAAAGGAAATAGTTTATTTCTTGTGTGATGCCTGATGCTTTTTAAGAGAGGCCTTCGCAGTCATTTTAATCCCACACTCAGAACATGAAAATGGTTTCTCTCCTGTGTGAATTTTCAGGTGAACTGTAAGGTTTGATTTCTGATTAAATCTTTTCCCACATTCTAAACAACAAAATGGTCTCTCTCCTGTATGAATCCTCTTGTGACGTGTAAGTTTTGATTTAGCGAAACATTTTCCACATTCAGAACAAGAAACTTTCTCTCTTCGACAAGTCTTGTCCCGTCTGATATGTGAATTGTGACGTGCAATGAAATTTGTGATATACTTGGAATGGTTTGTCCCAGAACCAACTGTTGTTGCTTTATTATTTTCATGAACTCTTTGACGTTTACCATAATCTGAGAATGCAGCTAGAACCTTACAACTCTCAGAGTTAGCATTGAACTTATGATTTCTCAATGTCATGGTCACTACTTGTTGAGGGTTACTATTCATTACATCTTGAATTTCAATAAAACAAGGGAGTGTTTGAATGCAAGTATCTTTCACATTTCCTTCTTCACATGAGGGTGATTCATCCGTAATAAGAGTAGATGGATATTCTGTTTGAACATGTTCTCTGGGTTTATAAATGTCTGTGTCTGTGAGATTTCCCTGTTCACATGAGGCTGGTTCCTCCTGAATATGAATAGATGGATATTCTGTCTGTATGGTCGGTGTATAAGTGTCAGTGTCTGTGAGATTTTCTTCTCCACTGAAGGCGGATTGTTTCTTTATATAAATAGATTGAATTTCCGTCTGCATTTGATCAGCGTTTGTATAAATGTCAGTTTCTATTAGATTTCCTTCTTCATGTGAGGTGGATTCCTCCTTAATAATAGTAGAAGGATTTTCTGTTTGTAAATGTGTGTGTTTGTCAGTGGTTGTGAGATTTTCTTCTCTACCAAAGGCTGATTGTTTCTTTATATAAATAGATTGAATTTCCGTCTGCATTTGATCAGTGTTTGTATAAATGTCAGGGTCTATGAGATTTCCTTCTTCATGTGAGGTGGATTCCTCCTTAATAAGACTAGATGGATTTTCTGTCTGTGCATGCGTGTGCTTGTCATTGGTTGTGTAATTTTCTTGTCCACATGAGGCTGATTCTTCCTTGTGTCTAAGAGATATGCCTTGTTCCCGTCTTGTTTTATTTTTTCCGATGGGGGCTCTTATATGTCCAGTTTGGACTTCCTCATTTCTTACTAAATAATTAGATTTAGAAACAGAGAGGTTTCTAAATGCATCAGCTTCTAATGTGTTCACAGAACCATCTATTGGAAAGAAATACACAGAGTTAGAAGTTTTCCTTAAAGGCACATGCATCATATTGGATATTTTATCTGGCAAACATTTTTACAGTAATATACAATAAAAAGCCTGAAAGGATGTAATGCCATAAAATGGTGTCAGTTTGATTTATCTGACTAACCTCTGAGCTAAGAAAGTTTCTTCACACACAAACCCACCCATCTCAGTTTCACGTGAACTAGCAGAAGCCATATGTGAGAAATTATGTGCACGCTAATAATACACGGCGCTTCACAATAATACACTAGAGATATAAAACAAATATTGACATACAAAACAGTGTTCCTACTTCTTTGTTTGTCTCTCCATTTCCCTTCTCCTCACTCTTTATTCCACAAGGATTTACACATCGCTTCTGTCTCACAAATGAAATGATGCACATAGACTACAACTATGGTTGTAGTCACAAATTTAAATGAAAATAGGGGTTCATTATCCACTCACCACTGAATTGACACTTTGAGCTCTATAGTTGGGGGTACCATTGAGGAGGGGATTAGCGAAGAAGCAACATTCTCAGCCAATGAATGACCTGACTTTTTAAATTGTTACAAGCCGAGTTCGGAATCCAGACGCTAGATGAGTATCACCCAGCTTCAGAGGAGGCTTGGCGCCCAGCAGGGACCCAGGTAAGAGGGCAAACCATTGCAATTTAAACAAAACTGTAGCGTTAGGAGTACAAACATGTATCCTGAATGCTATAGTGTTATCCTGATTGTTTAGGTGGCCACCCCCAACACCCTTTACTTCTCTTATATCCCAGAATGCACTGGTCCCACATATTCATGGCGGAGATCATTAAGATCCGATGATTCCCCATAGGGACACACAGGGACGCTGGTGCACACACACAGCAAAAGGCTGCTCTAAGCCAATCAAAGTCTTTCTAGGAGCAGCTATTAGACTTGTGTTAACCTTGCAAATAAAACATTACAATTCCTACAAAGCGGCAATGTTTTACACTGCAGGGTTAAAAATAGAGTTGAAGTGGTCTGGGTGCCTTTAGTGTCCCTTAAATAAATTTTAAACATATTTCAAACATTTTAGTTAATAAACATCAAAAGATTATTCCACCAACACTGTGTTAATAGAGCAGTGCCTTCTGCTTTATGTTTGAGAGTATAGTTTATAATTTATTACTCATTCTTTATATATTGAGAGCACTATTGCTGTTTTTTTATATATCCCGGAGCATTGACAAATCAGACCAGATTAACGGACGCACTTCTCCACTATATCCTCTATTGGGGATAATACAGCTATACGCCCTTCACTCCAGAGCTGGTTAGAGCTCTCTCAAATGTGAGTTTATTACCTTCTTATTATTATTGGATCTTGGCTATATTACACTACCGGCTGTCTGTCGTGTTTCCCCTTTGTCTCTCCCCATATATACGGATATTTTGTCTCTCCCCATATATACGGATGGATCAACTCCTGAGGACCACAGCCTTATTTTATTCTGTTGTCTTAGTGAGACTTTTTATTATCCACATAGGCATACCAGCTCCTTTATCTCACTTTAGACTATTTGGTCTGGTTGTTACTGTTATAGGCTACTGTACTAGCCCCAGGCGCAGCCCTTACCCCCTCCACATCTTTTATAAGGATATCCTAACTATAAGATAAGGCCAGGGACTAATGGAAATATTTATAAAATTGGGCAGACTGGATGGGTCGAACGGTTCTTATCTGCTGTCACATTATATTATGCCGAATGGTTCTTATATGCTGTCACTATATTATTATTTCTATATTAGTCATTGTAGCAGAACCCCTTTGGCTGTCCCATACATGCCCTGTATAATATTATTGTTGGAACCTAAGAGTTTTCCTGTGCCTGGAATATACAGATTTGCATACAATTTTATGTGGCCATGCTAGGATTCATCAAGGTCGTCGGTGGAAAGAGATACAAGTCTGCATGTGAACCGCTGTATTCACCATATGAACTAAAGTGCCGAACAACGGGACCCCTGATGTGGAGTGTGACTGTAATTTACCTCCCTGTATGCTCGTTACATTCCCCAGGTTTAAAACACACGAACGCTCTGCTGTTTTCCTGGGCCATTGTAAACTCCCGAAAAGCGGTGTTTGGTCGGCGAGTGTCTGGAACTAAAATCAGACACTCGACTAACCGAACACCGCTAAGACCTCCAGGACTTCAGAAAGTAACGATCAAAACACATGAAGGGCCTGTCATTCATTAGGATGAATCCCACGAACTAGGGGATTCATCCGAATGCGAACTCAACTATAGATGGCATAGACTTTCGGGACTTTTGATGCGCGAACGGAGACCGACCGCAGGGCCAAAACTCATGGAACTATTTTCGGCTACTTTGCCCGTGCGGTTGGTCAAATCTTTGTGTCCTCATAACTCCCGAACCCCTGGTCTGATCTGGGTGATTTTTGGATATGTTTCTCACCCAGATCAGACATTTAAAGGTGTACCTACCATATTTGGGGTACATCCAAGAATTGGGGAAAAGTATGCACATTATAATTATGTTAACTATTAAGCTAAGGGGAGGAGATGTGTGGGAGGTAACGTCTATGTTATTGGTTACTGTAATGATTATGGTGGATACCTCCCTTGCATGGGAGAATCCCATAAAAGCAGGAATTGTGTCATTAAACTTCAGTTCTACTCCTGAACCTGTGTGTCATCCAGTGATTGGGAAAGGTGATGGGATATTATTGGATTGCCTTGCTGATTGTGCTGGTTACCCTACTGGATTTAATACTTGTTCCTGAATTATTCTAATATACCAGTGGAGTTAAGCTGTGGGAAATCAGCTCTCTGCTGCAGTCATTTTAAGAACTAATGGCCTTCTTTACCATGGATGTTTTATACCTACCAAAAGAGAACATTAGACAGTCTGGAACAAGCTGCGTAATTAACGTGTGCCTGCGGTGTTACTAGTCCCTGGTACACAAATGCAAAATGTACAGCATCTCTAGGAGAAACACTGCACATACAGACTCCTACCCATCATGACCACTTCTAAAAGCAGAAGTAGTCATGGTGCTTGGAGGAACTCCCTCGTACCAGTATAATTAGAGGAAATGGGTAAACAGGGTGTATAATCCTACAATAATTAGTGGTACTGAATAAAAGACAAAAAGAACATTTTCAAAATTACACTAAAATAAAGGGTTAAAATAAGTAAGAACAATTCTAATCTTGAAGATGAGCTTTTTAACCCCTTACCGACGCAAGACGGATATTTCCCATCATGCTTATCCTAGCGTTAAGCATGCATGGCAGAACATTTCCATCATTTACTAAAGTTAACCACAGATCGCCGCGATCGACTAAATCACGGGGTTGACACTCCTCCGTTCTGCCTCGGTATTCGAGGCAGACCAGAAGCACCTGATCGCGCTGTCCCTGCAGCTGAGATCGCTCTGACAGGCTATCAGAACGAGCACATGTGCTGCAGGATCTCCTGACCCTGCGCTTCTGTGGTCAGTGTGAAGTGCAGGAAGATGGATCAGCAGTGACCTGTGTAAAAAAAATAAAAATAATTAAAGCTAACTCCCACCCCCTCTAACCATTTAAAATAAAAATTAACCCCTTCCCTGCCAGTGATCACGGACTACAGTGATCAATTGGCAGGGACTACATTTTATAATTAATGAGAATTTATACATGTATATGTGACATCGAATAAAAGCCCTTTTTGTCCTCTAAAAATCAGTATATAATATGTGTTGGTGCAATAAAAGAGAGAGATGCAAATTGCGATTGAACACAAACAGGAAAAATGGCTTATGTCCTTAAAGGAACACTATAGTCACCTAAATAACTTTAGCTAAATAAAGCAGTTTTAGTGTATAGATCATTCCCCTGCAATTTCACTGCTCAATTCACTGTCATTTAGGAGTTAAATCACTTTGTTTCTGTTTATGCAGCCCTAGCCACACCTCCCCTGGCTATGATTGACAGAGCCTGCATGAAAAAAAAAACTGGTTTCACTTTCAAACAGATGTAATTTACCTTAAATAATTGTATCTCAATCTCTAAATTGAACCTTTAATCACATACAGGAGGCTCTTGCAGGGTCTAGCAAGCTATTAACATAGCAGGGGATAAGAAAATCTTAATTAAACAGAACTTGCAATAAAGAAATCCTAAATAGGGCTCTCTTTACAGGAAGTGTTTATGGAAGGCTGTGCAAGTCACATGCAGGGAGGTGTGACTAGGGTTCATAAACAAAGGGATTTAACTCCTAAATGGCAGAGGATTGAGCAGTGAGGCTGCAGGGGCATGTTCTATACACCAAAACGGCTTCTTTAAGATAAAGTTGTTCAGGTGACTATTGTGTCCCTTTAAGGGTAAGACAAGCTTCTGAAGCTGTGTCCTTAAGGGGTTAATATGTAACAAGAGTTGGAAATACTGGCCCTTTGATAAGTTCTCCCTTATATTTGCTCTATACATAAACACATTGCTGAAACCTTCTCTTACCCAATGGGCACACAGGCCGGCGAGTGTCCGTCACGACATCATTATAAAGCAGATTGTGTCTCTCTAAATACTCCCACACCTACAAGAAAATTACAGTGTGACATGAACATAGCTCTTAGGGTGATACATCCAGACACATCCCTTGGTTTTACTCTATGATGTCCTATTCACAGCAGCCTCACCTCTCCAGTCAGCAGGTGGATGATCTGATTTGTCAGTTTCAGGACCTTCTGCTCATTGTTTCCATCATGGATCAGTGAGTGAGGTGGAGACACCGTGCTGGGACTCTGGGCCCTGTCAGAACCATCTGACAAACCAGGACTATGGCTCTGTTGCACAGACTCACCCGGTCTCTTCATAACGATACAATCCTATATAACGAGGGAGAGTTTAATAAATATGAATTTATGGAGAGGAACACCTTCTATAGATATATTTCTTTAACAGGATTTAACTGTAAAGTTCAGACTTAAACAGACTGCATCAAAAAAGCCAGTATGTATAAATGTTTAAAGTGCTCACCAACTGGAGTAACTGGACCGGCACCAGAGAAGGTTAATCACAACAACGAAAATCTAACAAGGACTATGAGACTGTCGACCAATAATATCCTCCTTTTAGATGATGATTATATAATTATGAGATAGATAGATATATAAAATTATATGTGCACAGTGAGCAGACCTGCCTGAGACCATATAGCGGCTCCACCAATCAGGAGGCTCTTATAATGAACTACGAAGTTTCCCTTACTCCATAAACTCCAATGCAGGAAATGTTTAGGGGATAAGACGTTTGTCCTTCAGGCAGATTTAATCTTAACAAACAGGATAGAGCGGACAGGTCGAGAGGGTCACAGAAAGCAGACAATGTATAAGCTCAGATATAATCTGCCTTTTTCTTACTAATACCAATGATAAATTTGGACAAAAAACATCCCCTGAGAATCACTTAAGAAAAACAACATTCGGAAATGGATGCCAAGATATAGCACCAAATGGCAGCCCTGCCGGAGACTAGCTCCTGTTCTTCTGGGGGAGAACGACCCCAATGCTTTAAATTAAATTCTCGCCAGTGGAGGCTAGTACATCTTATGTTGGCGATATAGATAAATAATTGAAGTTCTCTAATCTTACACTTTATATGTGACATTTTTGAAATGATACAGATCATCCGGGCATTCTAGAACACAGCCCTAGGCATAGCCAGAATGGAAATATGCAACCTTGCTACCTGGATTATGGAGATATATATCAATTTATTGCAAGCCCTCCCTTTCTAACCCCCCCACCCCCACACCCGCGACTTTCTGTGTCTGTCCTATCACAGACCTCCCATCCAGCTCAATAAGAAGTCTTTGCAAGGCAGGTGCTCTCAGAAATCGGTCTCTTGAGTTTAGTTCCAGAGAGCTAAACAAACCAGGAAGTAACAGGACCAGTTGTCTGATTGTTGGGAAGAGGTGTAACAAGGTTCATTTATCAAAGTGACAGTTTCTATTCATGTCTGCACTTTTTGTAAAATGGAAAACAAACCAGGACACCCTCGTCACACAGAAAACACGTTAGCGAGCTAAAGACTGTTAGATGCTTAGAGTATCCTTTTAAATGTAGAGATACAGCTGAAAATATGCACAACGGGGAAGTTCCTCACTAAATTCGCTGCCCGCTGTTATACTATCCCAGAAACAGGCTAAAAACTTCCACTTAGATGCTGTAACTCAGCTTCCGAAATCACTACTGTACATTGCGGTGTCCTGCTGTGCTTTCAAATCTTCTCCTTGCTCTATGGGATCACATCAAGAACATCTATACCACATACCTGCGATGTGACCTCTACTACTCCATTTATTATAGGACAATCTAGCAGTGACAGGTGAAGTGGACCTTCCTTGAGATTTGTGCTTTAGCTTCAGTATTCAAATGTTTAATTTGTTTGAGTATTAGTCTGATCGTAAACCGTTGTGGTGTATTTCCCCCTATAGTCCTCCCTCCTTCATGGGTAACAGAACACTAAGACAGCCACCACGATACTACTTCTTAATCCCTTTATATTCATATTCATTATGTGTGTACCTCACATATAAATTGTTCACGTGTCATTATGTGGTCACTGTGACATTCTCAGAATCCCTCACCTCTCCAGTCAGCAGGTAGTTGACCTCCAGGGTGAGATCCAGGATCTTCTCAGTCATCTGATTCCGGTTTGTGTTTGTCATCATTAAGCCAATCAGGCAGCCTGAGAACAGGCTCTGGGGTTGTGCACACGAATTAGAAGATTCTGTGACTCTTAAATGACAGGTACATAATGCATTTTAATTTACACATTACACCTGAAATAAAATGAGAGAGACAATTAAATTTAAACTTGGTGCAGATCATCAAACCGTTCTAATAAAACCAAAGATTTAGCGGTTAGCAAAGGGTTATCGCAAAAATACTACATGCATTTTTCAATTGACTTAATTGCCTGTATTATAAATGCATTGTAACTTTCAGATTCCCTTTAAGGCGGCTATGTCACCATCTCTGATCTTTGCATATTTTTGTCCTGATGGTGACTATTTGTCTTGCAGTGGGGTGGGCCGTGAGAGCTGGGGAAGGTGACTTTCACTTCCCTGAAGCTCTGTATCATGCCCACCGCCAGCTTCATGCAGCAGGTGCTCTGCAGGTCCTGGCACTTCCTCTGCCAGGGGCCCATGTCAGGGTGGCACTCTTGCGCATGCATAGGGAATATACATATGACAAAGTATCCCCTAAACCACATAATAAAAGCCATCTATAACTTACGTTAACCTTTTTTTTTTAAATTTGATGTTCTATTGTCCTTTAAATGTATATTAATGATTTAGAAAGTGATATCCCAACGCGGTTCACTCCAGGCAGAGCCGGTGCACACAATGTAAACGTGGAGAACAGAGACGCTATTTCCTTTTTTTGGTTCTATCACAAACGACAATGACGGACACAGGAAATATTTATAACAGTGATAGAGAACCAAGACGGACACGCCATGTTCAATGACAGACGTGGATTTCTGTTATTTTTCACATAATGCTGAATATCTGGGATTCTGATAAAATGAATAATCCTGGTTAGTTCCCCTCTCAGGTTAGCATATTTTTTATCCTGGATGGCGACTGCTCCGCTTGCAGTCCGGTAGCCAGTGGGCGCAGGGGAAAGTGAGCTTTACCCAAAGCTGTCCCTCTTGGCCTCTGCCATCTTTATCTGGTGGGTCCTTTCCAACTTCAGATGCGTCACCTGCCAGGAGCCCACGTAAGTGATGTAACTGCACACCAACTGAGGGCGATGGAGGATCCCGCAGGAGCCACCACAGACAATGCCTTCCTCCTGAGACACGGCCAAACCGGACAGCGGTCGCTCTGCCTTATGTGAAGTATTGGGAATACACATAACTCGTCCCTTCTTGGTCTCAATACAGCGACTGACAGCGAGGGGATTTCAGCCAATGGGAGACTTTCATACAGGTTTTATAGCAGTGAAATCCTCCTGTGGTGGTGATGGTCGAGGTGATGATGGAGGTGGTGATGGTGGAGGTGATGGTAGTGGTGGTGATGGTAGTAATGATGGTGGTGGTGATGGAGGTGAAGGTGATGATGGTGGAGGAGGTGATGGTGGAGGTAGTGGTGATGGTGAAGGAAGATAGTGGTGATGGTGTTGGAGGTGGTAGTGTTGGAGGTGATGGTGGAGGTAGTGATGGTGGAGGTAGTGATGGTGGAGGTAGTTATGATGGTGGTAGTGGTGGAGATGATGGGAGTGGTGATGGTGGTAGTGGTGATGATGGTAGTGGTAGTGGTGGTGATGGTGGAGATGGTGGTGATGGTGGTAGTGGTGGCGGTAGTGATGGTGGTAGTGATGGTGGAGGTGGTAGTGGTGGTGGTAGTCATGATCATGATGGTGGTAGTGGTGATAGTGATGATGATGATGGTGGAGGTGGTGATGGTGGTAGTGATGATGATGATGGTGGAGGTGGTGATGGTGGAGGTGGTAGTGGTGATGATGATGATGGCAGGCATACGATGTGGCGCGGCAGGATGTGATGGTGGTAGTGCGGTAGCAGTGATGATGGAGGTGGCGGTGGTGGTAGTGATGATGATGGTGGTGGTAGCGGATGAATACGGTGGTAGTGATGATGATGGTAGTGGTGGGGATGGTGGTGGCAGTGATGATGACTCTGTGGAGGTAGTGGAGGTGGTGGTAGTGATGATGGTGGTAGTGATGATGGTGGTAGTGGTGATGATGGTGGTGGTAGTGATGATGATGATGGTGGAGGTAGTGGTGGTAGTGATGATGGTGGTAGTGATGATGATGATGGTGGTAGTGATGATGGTGGTAATGGTGGTGGTAGTGATGATGATGGTGGTAGTGATGATGATGGTGGTGGTAGTGATGATGGTGGTAGTGGTGATGATGGTGGTGGTAGTGATGATGATGGTGATGGTGGTAGTGATGGTGGTAGTGGTGATGGTGGTAGTGATGGTGGTAGTGATGATGGTGGTAGTGGTGGTGGTAGTGATGATGGTAATGGTGGAGGTAGTGGTGGTGGTGGTAGTGATGGTGGTAGTGATGATGATGATGGTGGTAGTGATGATGGTGGTAATGGTGGTGGTAGTGATGATGATGATGGTGGTAGTGATGATGGTGGTAATGGTGGTGGTAGTGATGATGATGATGGTGGTAGTGATGATGATGGTGATGTGTAGTGATGAGGTGGTAGTGATGATGGTGGTGGTGGTAGTGATGATGATGGTGGTAGTGATGATGGTGGTGGTGGTAGTATTGATGGTAGTGATGAGCTAGTGGTAGTAGTATTGATGGTGGTGGTGGTAGTGATGATGGTAGTGATGATGATGGTGGTAGTGATGATGGTGGTGGTGGTAGTGATGATGGTAGTGATGATGATGGTGGTAGTGATGATGGTGGTGGTGGTAGTGATGATGGTGGTGGTGATGGTGGTGGTAGTGATGATGATAGTGATGATGGTGGTGGTAGTGGTGATGATGATGATGATGGTGGTGGTGGTAGTGATGATGATGGTGGTAGTGATGGTGGTAGTGATGGTGGTAGTGGTGGAGACAGTCCCCTCTCAGGTTAGCTGGAGGCTGTAATGAGCAGGTTACTCTGTAAATAACATACCCTCCCCATAGTGATACCGAGTACCTCACTCACCAGTCCTGGCGGCAGCCGCTCCCTGGAGGCTCAGCACTGTATCCACTACTCCCCTGACTGATAGGACTCGGAATGGCCGCACTGCGCATGTGCGAGACTGACTGCTACCCGCCCGGCGCATTAAACGTGACGTCATCGGCCAGTCCTCCTTCTAAGCGGCCATCTTGGTTTAGGGCAAACTCCAACTCGTGTTCTAGCAGAGGGAGGGCAGAACCAGTAATGGTGGGGGTAACAGAGTGGAGCTATATCCATGGGGTTTATAAAGTGGGAGATTTGTGAAGCTCCAGATATCAGCCCCAGTAATTACTGTCATTGGGAACAATCAGCACTGTCTGACTGTGAGAATTGGGAGCTAATTAATAAAGAAATTAATTATTGATCTTTAACAGCCAAACTAAAAGAGATACATGTTTAGATATTCAGCTATAATATCTGCCAAGTGCCCTGAATCCAGAGAAAGTCCTGATTTTGTCCAGACATTTTGTTTCCTTCTTTTATTTAATGTCCTACTTCTCGGGGCAGCGCAGGAATTCCTAATAAAATGTAGTGTTAGATTCTTGTAGATTGGCATGTTGTTTAGGCAGCGAACTCGTCTCCTACGGCTCCTGTATGTCAGACATGGTTTGACAGAATTAATGGTCTGTCTTGGTTTTCTGCTGTGCAGTGCTGTGGAATATGTTGGTGCTATACAAATAATTGTAATTATTAGCATGTTTAATGAACATGCCAAGCACCGTAACCAAAGCTAACTGCACCACGCTGTAGTGGTTATGGTGTCAAAAGTGCCCCCCAAACCCACAGTTAGGCTTCTCTCTGACAGCTTCTGGCTCTCTGACTTAGGTAGTAGAGGCGGGGCGTGGTGCGTGATTTTAACAAGCATAGAAATGTAATTACAAAATACACACAATATAGAGAATGGCTTCATGCAGGCCCAGACTGGCCTTCTGCCAACGGGCTGCAGTGGCCATGGGCCAAGGCCGACCAGGGAGAACACAAAATCTCCCAGACCGGCCCCTTCAGGACTGACAGAGAGAGGGTTTCGCAGCCAGCATGGAAATCGAGGATCTCCCTCACCATCCAGTCCTCGGTACTGCCGGGAGCCCAGGGAGCATGAACTGTACTGAGTCCCTAAACACACACACTACAGTCGTTATCCCCTCTACACAAATACACTACAACCCATTCCCCACACCACTCAAACATGCATCTCTATGAGCTATGAGGAGGTGCTGATTGGCCAAAACGTTGGCCAAAACGGTGCTGATTGGCCCGTCCCTTGCCAATTTTAGCCCATCCAATGCTGTCCCTATGTGGCTATTGTTTGTTCATAATAAATATTCCTTTATCAAGTTCTGCCTTTGTCTGGTAGAGACTCACCTTACCTGGTGTAGCGTTACTTACGTTAACCGGGGGCCGGTCGCGGTCCTCTCTTCAAGCCGCGCGCGGTCCTGCGGCTGCACGAGCCGCGCGCGGCTCATCCAACTACTTCGGCTGGAGGGCGGGCAGTGACCGCGTGAGGCGGTCACGTGTCCCGCCTGAAACTAAGAGCGCGCCGCGAGTCTCGGGCGCGCTCTTAAAGGGACAGTGGGTGCCTAAATTGGAAAAGGCATCCCATTGGTCCCTGTCATACCACACTCCCCATACACTTACCTTTTGGGGGCGTGGATATGACAGGGACCAATCAAATTAGATGTTTAGGTATTTATACTCACCTTCTTCCCTTTGTTCCTTGCCCTATCGTGGTTTCTGTTTCAGTTCCCTTTAGCGCTTGTGGTGTTCAGTTGTGTTTTCTCGTATTGACTTTGGCTTCGTATTCTGACTTCGTTTTCGCTTTATCCTTATCTGTACTGTTTGCCGGCTTGCTGTTTTCCGTGTACCAGACCCCGGCTTGTCCTAGTTTACGCTGTCTCTCTGTGCCCTTGACCTCGGTTTGTTCCTGGCTCTGTCTTCTCTCATTTACGTCAAGTCCGGCCATTCTAAGGTCCGGTAGACATATCTCTCCTCTGTATTTGCCTCTGTTTAGCTGGATCCTGCGTGTAGGGGTATATTCTCGTTACACCTGGTTAGACCAATTTACTAGTATTTTGACATCGTGTTAAATCATTTTTAAAATCAAAAATGCACTAAATCCCAGTGTGTAACAGTCAAACACCTGTGTGGTATCTCCTTAAACCGCTCCAACAGACTAAAATAGTCAAAATATACAATACACAATAGGTGGAGTGTACCACGTCAAATAGGAGATGTATATGTTAAAAAAAAAAAAGAACGATCTGTAGGATGAAAGGAACAGAGAAATAATAAATACTAATTAAATATTTCTTAAATTCAAAATTGAGGTGTATAAATATGCAGATGTTCACTCTCAAAATCAGAGCCAGTAACACTAGGCTCAATATCTGGGCTTGATGGGATATTGTCAGGGACCCCACTCCCTCTTCTGTATCCTGGTTGAAATTGTCTTTAGCTCCAAAAAGTAATCCATCGGGCGTTGTGGATACAGCAATTTGATTTGAGCATAAAACGGATAAAAAGCAAAACGCAGGAACAAAATAAACATAAAATAAAAACCCTACACTTCGATTCAAAACGCGTTGAAATTGTGCATTCGGTTTCCTGGGTCAGTGGTACTTTTAAATATTTTTTAAATTGTCACCTTCTGATACTTCCTTGAACATTAGGGTCAGTGGCGTACACACAACCCACGGGGGCCCGGTGCGAAAACTGATCCGCGGGCCCGCCCCTCCCCCCGCGCTTACTCTGCGCGGGCCGGGGCTGCAACACATCTCGGCAGGCACCTGGTCGCGGTATGTACGCCAGTGTATGCAGATACACATACACTTAAAGGACCACTACAGACACCCAGATCACATCAGCTCAATGCAGTGATTTGGGTGCCAGGCCCCTCTAGTTTTAACCCTGTAGCTGAAAACATAGCAGTTTCAGAAAAACTGCTATGTTTCACTGAGGGTTAATCCCGCCTCTAGTGGCTGTCTCATTGACAGCTGCTAGAGGAGCTTCTGCGACTCTCACTGTGAAAATCACAGTGAGAAGACGCTGAACGTCCATAGGAAAGCATTGAGTAATGCTTTCCAATAGGCGGTTTGAATGCGCACGCAGCTCTTGACGCGCATTCAGAGCTGAGAGGCGGATCAGGGCGGAGGGATCCCCAGCGCCAAGGGAGTCTGGCGCTGGAGAAAGGTAAGTTCTGAAGACACGCACACTGTCACGAACAGACGCATACACACTAGCTAACAGACACACACTCTCACGAACAGACGCATACACACTAGCTAACAGACACACACATTTACTGACAGACACACACTCAGTGACAGACATACATATACACTCACTGACCTACATAGTTACATAGTTACATAGTTACATAGCTGAAAAGAGACTTGCGTCCATCAAGTTCAGCCTACCTCACATTTGTTTTTTGCTGTTGATCCAAAAGAAGGCAAAAACCCAGTTTGAAGCACAATTTTGCAACAAGCTAGGAAAAAAATTCCTTCTTGACCCCAGAATGGCAGTCAGATTTATCCTTGGATCAAGCAGTTATTACCCTACATTGAAAGATTATATCCTTGAATATTCTGTTTTTGCAAGTATGCATCTAGTAGCTGTTTGAACATCTGTATGGACTCTGATAAAACCACTTCTTCAGGCAGAGAATTCCACATCCTGATTGTTCTTACAGTAAAAAAACCTTTCCTTTGCCTTAGACGAAATCTTCTTTCTTCCAGTCTAAACGCATGGCCTCGTGTCCTATGTAAAGTCCGGTTTGTGAATAGATTTCCACACAATGGTTTGTATTGGCCCCGAATATATTTGTATAATGTTATCATATCCCCTCTCAGGCGACGTTTTTCTAAACTAAATAGGTTTAAATTTGTTAACCTTTCTTCATAGCCGATATGTTCCATTCCTTTTATTAATTTTGTAGCCCGCCTCTGCACTTTTTCTAGTGCCATAATATCCTTCTTTAGAACAGGTGCCCAAAATTGCACAGCATATTCAATATGGGTCTTACCAGTGATTTATAAAGAGGCAAAATTATATTCTTGTCCCGAGAATGAATGCCCTTTTTCATGCATGACAATACCTTACTGGCCTTGGCCACTGCTGATTGACATTGCACATTGTTGCATAGTTTGTTGTCTATAACAATTCCCAAGTCCTTTTCATGTGTTGTTATCCCTAATTCGCTTCCATTAAGGGTATACGTTGCTTGTGTATTCTTTACGCCGAAGTGCATAACTTTGCATTTTTCAACATTAAATTTCATCTGCCATTTGAGTGCCCAGTCCCCAGTCTATCTAAATCCCTCTGCAGCAAAGTAATATCTTGCTCACATTGTATTATTTTACAAAGTTTTGTGTCATCTGCAAACACTGAAACATGACTTTCAATGCTGTCTTCAAGATCATTTATAAACATGTTAAATAGAAGGGGTCCCAGAACAGACCCCTGAGGGACACCACTTGCCACCTCTGTCCAGCTTGAAAATTTACCATTAATGACAACTCTTTGTACTCTGTTTTTAAGCCAATGTTCTACCCAAGAACAAGCATTTTCATCTAGACCGATTTCCTTGAGTTTGAACACTAATCTATTGTGTGGAACTGTATCAAATGCCTTGGCAAAATCCAAATAGATCACATCCACGGCAACACCCTGATCTATACTTCTACTTACTTCTTCGTAGAACGCAATCAAGTTAGTTTGACATGACCTGTGCTTCATAAAACCATGCTGATTTTTGCTGATAACCATGTTCTTCTCAAGGAATTCTTGAATATTATCCCTTAATAACCTTTCAAATATTTTACCAGCCACAGAAGTTAAGCTCACAGGTCTATAATTTCCAGGCAAGGATTTTGAACCCTTTTTGAATATAGGAACCACATCTGCCTTCCTCCAATCCTCCGGAACACTTCCTGAAAGAAAAGAATCTTGAAAGATTAAAAACAGAGGTTCACTTATTTCTGCACTTAGTTCCTTAAGTACACGTGGATGGATACCGTCAGGCCCTGGAGCTTTGTTTATATTAACTTTCTTTAG